CACCCTTGTTGTAGTTTACAACAATTTATAAACAATTTAAATAATGTTTTAAGGGCTGAGAATCATGCACAGAAGTAACTAATAAATGTCACTCTAGCCTAAAGGTAAGCATTTGTATGGGGTTGTCATCAGCAAGGGTTTATGGATTTTTCTTTATTGATGGAAACATTATAGGTGTAAATATATTTGAATATGTTGGACCATTGCTTTTTTCCACAGAAATCCTTTCTTCCAGACAAGACATCACAAGACTCTCACTGCTCTATAACTATTTCCATGGTGAGTGTTCAAATGAACTACACTCCTTAGTTCCACTAGTTTTAACCTTCATGGCTAAGACCTACGATGCCACACATATTGCTGTGAACCACCCTCATTCTATTCATGGTGAGATGAAAGTTCCACTTCAGCAACTTCTTCCCACAAACCACTGCCTAGTGGAACCAATGCCCAAGAGGCTGCATCCCCAATCACTAAAATCTTCACCTGTTAAAGTTTAGGGTTCAACATATATCTGCATAATCTCTACCTCTTACTCTTAAACCCTCTATCTTGAGTGACCCCAGGCAAGTTCAATGTTTACATAGCAACTTGCAAATTTTCATTGATTACACATCTTTTCACAAATATAAATGTTACTTTTTCTTTGAAAAATATTTCTTTATATCTTATTTTATTTTTCTTCTTTCGTTCAGCTTAAAATGTAATAATTACTTTATTTAAATTCTGTTATTCTATCATGGAACATTTTATTATAAGTAATGGTCCATCTATTAGATGTTACATTTTGTTTGAAATTTCTATATATTCTATAAACATCAAGTGGAATCATTATTGTTAAATAGTATTGTTTTTTCAAAATTTTCTTTTTTTCCAGTACCTCTGATGATATTTGCAGGCAACAATCTTTCAGCTTGATTGTGCAGTTACATGTTATTCACATCTTGTCAGAGAGTCTTTGATAGAGAATTATAAAATTCATGACTTGGGCATCAAGTTTCCCTGATCTCACACCTCGAGAATAGTAGCCCATTTTTCAGAAATATATTTGATTTGTTAATAAAAAAATGATTCCGTCATATCACATTTTGCTATTTTTGCTTCAAATGTAGTATTAACTTTACTTGCATGCACACACACACATTATATATATATATATATATATATATAAAATATATATATCAAATATTATTATTAATGGATTTAATAAAAGTATGATAGATTAAAAAAAATAAAACTTATTAATTCTTTAAATCTCTATAATGCAAATGTCAGTGTGTCATGATGCCACACTTTTTTCAATTCAAGAGACACAACTCTCTAACTTTCAATAGCTCATGTTACAGAAATTTTGAATTCCCAATTTTTCATTACTGTGATTGTTTTTGTCAATTTTTTGGTGGGGAATAATCAAAATTAATCATGAGATTCTGCAAAAGTCATCCATGAAACAAAAATAATTGTTTGTACAGAAAGTAAGAACCTACACATATCAAATTGTCTTTATTAAGAAGAATTATCCTTGAACTTTTAAAAGGTAAGCTTAAATATTAATGCAATACTTAAATGCAGCAATCAATTCTTCTATAGTTTATTGTTGCCTACCACATATGGTAGCAGTATGCCTTGCAAAAAGAAATCTCCACCAAGAGAGGACTATATTGCAATCAAAAGAGCTCTCCACAGGAGCTAGCTTAAATGCTGGCCTATTGGGTGGTATTTAAGTTAGTGTGTGTGTGTGTGTGTGTGTGTGTGTTATATGTGAAAAATATACAGAAAATAGGAAAGAACTCGTTAGGTAAATAATCCTAAGTTCTTTATTATTTTTGTTATTATTTTTTAAAAATAGTGCTCGATACAAAAGTAGAGCATAAATATAATTATCATATTTTAAATAAATAATTATATATATATATATATATATATATATATATATATATATATATATATATATTTTTTTTAAATCATATATATCATATTTTTAAATAAATAATTATATATGTGTGTGTGTGTGTGTGTGTGTGTAATATATATATATATATGAAAAAAAAAAACATCTTAACCAACATGCTTTATCCTCTGATAAATTTCAAATATAAGGATTACATTTGCTTTGATAAAGTTGGCTAAGATAAGTTTTCTTTTTGTTATTATTCATATTGTCCTTTTACAGATATATTCTTAGTTATATCTCAAATTTTCTATATATATATATATATATATATATATATACATACATTTATATATATATATATATATATATATATATATATATATATATCAGCTACTCTCATTCATTTTCTGAGCACACCTGTCTCCTTGGGCAGCTAATTCCTGTTGCAGATGCCTTTTTTTCAACACCCACAGAGCCCACCTCTGGTTTATAATGAAACTATTCTGAGCAAACTTTAGTTACAGTTTTTGGGAGAGAACACAGAACTTGACATGATTAGCAGTTGGAATAATGCCAGTATACTCAGTCACAATGATTTGTGACTTTGTGCTAACACAAACATCAATATCAACAGTCTCTGAATGCTTCCATCTAACTAATTTCCCTCACAGGTACTTTCTAATAGTGCTACATGATGGGATCACCATCCCAGATTGATAACATCATGAATTCAATCAACTTCTTGATAAATGAAAGAATTGAACATGAGTATTATCGTCAGAAAGTGAATGTTATAACCATTTGGCCACATGCATACACATGCACACATATTTTATCTGAGGCTTGTTACTGAGTGAAACTCTGAGTAATGGATATTTGATTACCATTTTAATATTACGGTGTTAATATTATATAATATTATAAGAGACTTTATACATGTATATATTTTTTTAAAGAAATTAATGTATTTTTTAATCCAATATTATTTCTTATTACTGCAAACATATTTATATATGTTTGAATAGATATCCATTTTTTTTTTTAAACAGTGAAATTAGTGTCTACTGGGCTAGAGATCAAAAGTTATATAAAGCTTTCAATTTCCAGGCCGGTAAACATTAATTTCACTGTTTTAAATGTAAAAAAGAAAAATTAGATAAAAAAAACAGGGATGTCTATTAAAACACATTTATGTACTAAATATATTGTTTATAGTAATTATATAAAAACACACAGTTGGGTGAAGGTTATCAGCACAAAAATATTGCTCTTGCCCTTGGGAAAGGTATTGAATACCTTGAAACCAGTAAAGTAAGTTTCTCAATGTAGAAAGCAATATCTTGAACTAATTGGCTGCAGACATGAAAATGAAGAGGAAAAGGTATTCATGAAAAAACAAATCCTTGAGTGAAAGCAATTCTAATAGCTTTTCAAGGAGAGACATTGTCCATCCAAGTTGACATTGGTGAAAAAAAAGCAACCAAAGAAATTGAATGTATTTAGAACTTGAAGTTCTGTTAGACAGAACTGAATGTGAGTCTGCTTTGTGATCAATAACGTGTCAATAAGAGTGGACATTGGATAGAATTAATAGGAAAATATCAATATTTTGAGAAATGGCCAATGGCAAAATAGTTGATGCTGTTAACTTGCTTAGACAATAAACATTAAACAACCTAAACACTTTTCCTCACTGAAGAGTTCCTTTTATAGAAATAGTTCAAGGGAGATAACTGATAATCCACATTCTTGATTCACCAGCCTAAGAAAATGTTTCAACAGCAAACACACAGTATGCACTGGTCCATTTGTTAATTGCATAGATGATATATATTAAACAACGTGAATACTTGTCCTCACTGAAGAGTTCCTTTTATAGAAATAGTTAAAGGGAGATAACTGATAGTCCACAGATGCAAGTGAACTTCACTTTTTCTTTCACCTTCTGACTTCTCTTTTCCCAGTTTAGGTGCTGACGATTAGAGACTAATGACTTCTCCTTCATTGGTAAAAATGGTTTTATTTGTTTCTGCTCATCTCCTCTCCAAGTTGGTGTATTCTTTTGAGTTAAATGGTAATGGTGAAATTAACCATTTCCATATAGGAAACATTCACTATTCATAGACTGAACAGTTAGTTAATGTCAGTTAAATTTATAAAATATTTCTCTTTAAATAGTTTCTGGAAAATAAACCTTCCAAGTTCACTAACAGTTAATACTTTTTCTAGTAAGGATGGGAGTTTCCTTCATAACCATTTTTATGGTAGCATGAAAATTATGGCAAATACACATCAAATACACATTATGGCAAATACACATCAAATTTTATATATATATATATATATATATATATATATCAGCTACTCTCATTCATTTTCTCTGAGCACGCCTGTCTCCCTTGGGCAGCTAATCCCTGTTGCAGATGCCTTTTTTCAACACCCACAGAGCCCACCTCTGGTTTATAATGAAACTATTCTGAGCAAACTTTAGTTACAGTTTTTGGGAGAGAACACAGAACTTGACATGATTAGCAGTTGGAATAATGCCAGTATACTCAGTCACAATGATTTGTGACTTTGTGCTAACACAAACATCAATATCAATAGTCTCTGAATGCTTCCATCTAACTAATTTCCCTCACAGGTACTTTCTAATAGTGCTACATGATGGGATCACCATCCCAGATTGATAACATCATGAATTCAATCAACTTCTTGATAAATGAAAGAATTGAACCTGAGTATTATCGTCAGAAAGTGAATGTTATAACCATTTGGCCACATGCATACACATGCACACATATTTTATATACATTACTACAACAATTTCTGTTAATTTCAAGGATCTGGATTTATTATTGTTTACATCATTTACACTTTGACTATCCTCATATTTGTTGTTATTATCACAATGTTTTGGCTGTTGGGCTCTCAGATGTTCATCAGGTACTTGATGATCCATTTTCTTCTTAGTTTTAATGGCTTTCTTTATTTTCCATTGCTTTTTAGCCAATTTCCTCTTTGACCATCAAAATCATGGAAAAGGACATAGCTACAGCTAAGACTTGAATTCGCATCCCATTCCTTGAAAGCTTGTCTTGGCTAATGACCACATCATGTTGAAACACTGGTTCCCATATGATCACTGAAGTTAAGTAACATTGAACCTGGTCAATACCTAGGTGGGTGACCGCTTGAGAATTCGAGGTGCTGTAAGCTTGAATGTGCAAGAGGTGTAATGGATAATGGCTTGGAATTGTTAATCAGAGAGTTGCGTTCCAATTACCATTGGGTTTGTTATATTCACATGTACAAATAATTTTAGGAATGGTATGAATCCGCCTCTTGTCCATCCAGCTATGGGTTAATTAGTAATACTTGTACGAGTAAAACATTATCTCCAAAGAAAAAGAATTCTTACAGTCTAAAATTATTTTCTGGCTTTAAATAACCTGCAAAGCATTGGTAAGTTGTAGAAAATAAATGAATCAATAAATTGAAAGCTTGTCAATGGTGGATGCAACCATACTATCAACAGCACCTCATGAAGTCTTGGCTCAAGAATTTGGTGACATAGTTATTCTATGTTCAAGCTCTGAGTCAGATAGTGCAGACTTAGACTCAGTGGAAACAAAGTGGGCAATAACTGATCAGTACTAAATAAGAACAAGATGAAATATTCCTGGATTTTGGCAATGGAATGAGAACAATCTGTCCCTAAAGGGTTCAGTTCAAGAATAAATAACATGAATAGATTATATAATTATAAATATCATGCAGTCGCAGAAACAAATCATCAACTTGATTGTGACCTTATTATAGATATTGAATGAAAAGACTAATGATGAGACAGAAAACTGAATATATGCCTCACCAGACATTTATTTATCTTTAACGACATGTCCCTTCAAGACATAGGTGATTATGTCTATGCACAGATTCTTTTTTTTTTTATTATCTGAGAACTGCCCTAACTTCTTGTGAAAGAAAGAATAATTTCCTGTTTCTTTTTCAGTGGTTTTGAATTTACAGTTATTCTTTGGCTACTCTGCTATCTAAATGATGACTAAGTCAGAGATTTCTATTTGATCTGTGTGAAAAAGCTTCATCTAAAAGCATTTTGATCTTTTCATAGCTAAGCATTTTTATTATTTTATTGTGTTTTTTAATTATATTTATTATATAATATTTAGTGGATACTTGTATTTGAGTGGATACTCACTTTATTTTTGTTATATAGGAATAAAGTGTCACTGCTAACACTTGAGTTTGAACATAGATTGCCAATGAGCAAACACAGATGATCCCATTATTGAATTAAGTGGATCATGTGACCATAGAGGAAGCACATAAGTAGAAAGTATCATGACAACTAATTTCTATTCTATCATCTATTACTATTCGAATCACCATTTCTACTCTATCCTCTATTACTATACAGACTGCTGCTTCTCTACTCTATTCACTATAATATTCCTCTATTTAGATCACTATATGGATTACTGTCTGAGCGAGTATTATCAAGCAAGTACTATTAGTATAAGATTATTCAATGGTGTCTGACACCACTGTCTGATGCAGCATGCTTTTACCACTGGGCTACAAAGAACTTCACAATAAAGCAAGGTTCTATTTTACCTTTAAAGCACACTGACTCATTCTCTTCATACCCTAGTGATAAAAGCACGCGGGATCAGATGGTGGTTTCTCCTGCAAAGGGGGATGCAGGTATGAACCCTGCCAGAGTACATTTTCTTTAAGTTTTCTTAAGTATGTAGGCCAGTTTGTCTACTGGCCTACATAAAATGCTGTTTAGAAAAATAAATGGAGTATTTCTTCAAATAACTTTGCTTAGATTACAGATATGAAACTGTGTAGATATACATTTCAGGAAAATCTGAACAAATCAGTGTATTTTAAAGTAAAAATAGAACTTTGCTTTATGGTGAGGGTCTTCATAGCCAAGTGGTAAAAGCATGCCGGATCAGACAGTTATTCCTCTTGTAAATGGAGACACAGATTGAAATCCTGTTGGGGGTTAGTTTTCTTGAGTACACAAGCTGGTTGATGAAATAAATACTGTTTAAAATAAACAAAGGGTGTACCCAAATATGGGTATCCATTAATAACATTTGAAGTAATAAAAATATGTATTAAAAAATAAAAGTCCATAAATTCTTTTGAAATTAGCTGAGTATTCAAATAGTCCCAACAGTTTTATTAACCAAATGACTACGTTCATCTTTATTAACTAAATTATAGTATTTATTTCCTATGTATATTTATATCTATTTATATGATCATGGCACTCCACACATTTCTTTACACTGTCATCTTTAAATTACCATGATTTCCCGGGAAAGATAGTGGAGATGTCTCTCATTAACGATTTCATGTATTTTAGTGTGCGTAAATTATTCTTCAGTAGTTTGTAACACCCTATTTATCATCTCTCAGTTGCATCTCTGTCTTTGGGCAGAGTGCCTTCAAGGATGCTCCATCAAAGGACAGAGTTGCAACTGAGGAAAATTAAACTGAGAGGTGCCTGGCTCTGGGGAGCAGCTACCTGAGGTCATGACCCCCCCCATTGCACCAAAGAGGGATCAGTGCTCATACCAAGGCCAGCACAACCAACAGTTGAGGGGGCTCGGGCAATTTTTGTTCCTTGCCCGAGTGTACATGCTCGGGCCCCACACATTAAACTGACCTTGTCACAACCTGACCTCATGGGGTGCTTGAGTAAATACAAACTTCATGTTTTTTTGTTGTTTTCTTTTATTTAACTATGTGTAGTCCTTCTCTTACTCAGGTTACCATCCAAGGCTAGAGACACTATCCTACTATTTAACTCATGGAATATGGGATAAAGTTGTATCTTTTCTGGGGGCATTAGTACCAAAGTGTACACAACAAACAACTTTGGAATTTTTACACTTTCCATAGCAGGAACTATTGCACAATGTGTAAATTCAAAATGAAAGACCAATGGCAAGTGATGTATGAAGAGAATGATTTGTTTCAAACAGCTTTTTTTCACATGGAGGACAACTACATGGCTACCATTCTTCTTCTGATTAAACCTGTACCTTACTTTTGGAAAGTGTCTAAGAGGAGTGACTCCTGTGGATTAAGGCTACCCATGTATGTAATCCTTTTGTGCAAACGTCATAAAAGCCTGGATTAGAATTGTAGCTTAGTCTGCAGATCTGGTGTTCTCAGTTTATAACTATTCTCTCTTCTGTATGCCATATTCCTTCAGAATATGAACGATCATGGCTCTCCATATTTTCCTGTACTGTGTAGCTCTTAGTATATTTTGTCTTTTTGAAATCTTTCTTAAATCCTGCTCCATTATCCATTTAATCAAGCTCGTAAGGTAGGTTATGCACTGCTTCACTCTGTCCCTCTTGACTTTAATATGTCCTGTGAGTTTTAAATTTTCCAAGTTCTCTTTCCTCATTATTTACTCTAGAAATTTCAATTATCTCTTTCTGATGTTAAGTATAAGTGCCCTTTAGTTTCTATTTTCTCTAAAACAACATTATTTTCATGGCAAATGTTTGGACAAGCTCCATTCTTTAGTTCCACCAGTTCAGACATTACAGCTAAAACACATCCTGTTGCATCCCTCCATATTCAAATCCAAAGAAGGAAGTTCCACCCAGAGAGATTTTTCTCCAAAGGTACTGCTTTGCAGAACAGACTTCCATGTGGATGCTTTCCTGAAATCTATAATCTTAACCTCTTCAAGTCAAAGGTCAATCGTTGCCTACCTTATATATCTACATAATCAAAACTTTCTACTGTAACATTCAAATCCCTCACCTTATTCAGTAACCCTCTGAGTGACTCTTAAGTTTACTCTTGAGCCTTATATTGAGTGACTCTTGAGCCTTATATTGGGTGAACACTAGTAAAAGCAAAGTCTTCTTTTGGTGTATAGTCTGTAAGAAAACTGAGAGGTCTCTTTGTCCAAAAATGCTAAGAGACAGAAAAGAATTGGGGTAAATATATTGATTGGGCTGATCTATTCTAGTGGTTTCATTTTCAGCCACTCATGTAACACTGGTGATCCCATATATTCAATATGCAGGGATCAATAGTCTGAACAGTTCTTAAAATAGATAAATTTATTCAGCCACTTCTTTTACATATGCTGCATTGTTGGTGTCTATGGAGTTTGGCCTCCAGTTCGCCTCTTTAAATGTAATATATGGACAGTTATATAGCTAGAGAAAATAATATCCAGTTAGGAATAAGCTTCACTAAATGGAACACAGCAACAGGATAGGAAGATTGTATTATACCAATATTTTCTTAGGAGGAAAAGACTTCCTGCTATAAAAATCATGATTCAAAATATTTCTCTTTCACTTGGGTTCAAGTATCAACTTTTGACATCATGGTATCAGTTCTTAACTTAGTATCTATGCTGATGACAAAACTATTTATTCCTGTAGGTCTGATCAGTTCGATAATGTTGAATTGGTAGCCGATCTAAAAAAATGACCTATAATCTGTTGTCAATTAGGGCAAGGAATTCCTCCAAAACAAAACTGCTTTTTTTTAATCATCTTAGGGACCTCTTTCTGCAATCCATCTGCATGGCTGATGCTAACCTTTAGGAGAGTGACTTGTTGCCACTTCCCAGGCTAACCTTCTCTGTTCACATGAAGTGGAAGGATTATATTGAATCATTTGCTAGTTCTGCTGCTTGGAAAGTTGTTTCATTTTGTCATGCTAGACAATTTTTCTTGCTCAAATCCATCTTACATATTTATAAGTCTACCATTTATCCGTGCCTTGGATAATGCTGCCACTTATAGTTTGGTGCTCCTGCTATATATTTAAAGATCCTTGATAAAATCCAAAGAACGATCTGCAATGTCACTTGTTCTGATCTGGCATCTCAGCTTCAGTCACTTTCTCACTGCCGTAATGTAACTTCCCTGTACCTTTTATTATAAATTCTTTGTTGGTAATTGTTCTAATAAACTTGCCTCTATGATACCTACACTTTATGAATTTAAGTGCAGTACTAGATTGGTAGAAAGGTTTTGTCAATTTAAAGTTGAAATGGCTAGATGTAACCATGACTTCTATGCTAACAGTTTCTTTTTTCAGACTTTTTACTCATGGAACTCTTGTTTGGCTTCTTGCTTTCCACTCAAGTTTGATCATCAAAAATTTAAATGCAATGTCAGTCATTATATTCAG